ACAAACAACATATAGTTGGGTCTGGTTTTTAAATCAATTCTGCCAGCCTATTTCTTTTAACTAGGAGTTGAGTCTATTTACATTCAAAATTATTATAGAGATGTTTAATACCTTTTACTTTATTTCTAATGTTTAATTTGGTTCTTTTGTTTGCTTAGCTGCTCTTCAAATGATATTGGTCTATTTGTGAGCTCTTGAGTGTTTTTTATGTCTTCTATATGAAGTACTGTCTGTAGTGCCAGCTTAGTGGTCATAAATTCTTTAGTTTCTGCTTATCTTGGAAGGTTTTTCAATTCTGAAGGATAGTTTATGGATACAGCAACCTTAGTTGACAGTTATTTCTTTCAGAGCATGGAAGACATCATTCCAAACTCTCCCGGATTTTTTAGTTTGTCTGAGAAGTAATCAGAAGTAATCTGATGGGCTTGCACTAAATATGGCCTGACATTTTTCTATTGAGACTTTAAAAATTCTATGTTTGTGCTAGGGTTGTGGTTCAGTGGTAGAGTGCTCGCCTAGCATGTGTGAGGCCCTGGGTTCGATCCTCAGCACCACATAAAGATAAATAAATAGAGCCTGGGGCTGGGGCTCAGTGGTGGAGCGCTTGCCTAGCATGTGTGAGGCAATGGGTTTGATTCTCAGCACCATGTATAAGTAAATGAATAAAATAAAGGTCTACTCATCTAAATTTTTTTAAAAGATAAATAAATAAAGGTATTGTGACCTACAACTAAAAAATAAATATTAAAAAATTCTATATTTGTTCTATGTGTTAGATATTTTAATTGTAATATGTCATGGAAAAGTTCTTTTTTGATCTTGTCTATTTGCATTTCTGTATCTGGATGTTCATCTCATTTTCAAGGTTCGAAAATTTTTGTTATTATTTCCCTGAAGAGGTTATCCATGCTACAAGCCTGCATCTCACAACCTTCTTCAATTCCAATGATTCTTAAATTTGATTTATTATTGTTGTCCTATAGTTCTTTTGTATGCCGATCATGGTTACTTATTTTATCTTCTTTCATACTGTCTGCATCTTCAAGGTCAGCCACTTGGTCTTACAGTTTTAATATTCTGTCTTCAGTATGGTCTACTCTATTAAGATGTTGAGCTGAACATTTTATTTGATTTATTGTATCTCTCATTTCCAAGATTTCTGTTTTGTTCTTTTTCAATATCTTTATCTCCTTATTCCTGTGTTGGATTTTATGCATCTGTTGGGATGGATTTCTCCTCCACTCTTATGTGTGAGCCTTTTAGGGCACAGCCTTCTTTTGCCAAAGTGTCCTAGATTGATCTAGATTGAGACAACTTTTAGGTGTGATATCCATAATTTTGGTGTTAATTCTGATTTTTCTATTTGAGTAGGTGTCCCTGAGTGGGACCTGAGTACCCCCCGCCCAGCTGTTCCTAGCTGGAGCCTGGTTGTTAGTTTGTCTTTTCTGTTTTTTGTATTAAAGCATTGCTGAAGTTTGAGTATGATTAATTTGTGTGTGGAATAAGATGCACTATCTCTTGGTTGGGTTTAGTTTCTACCTGATAAACTGGTAGCATCCTTGTAGATTCCCAGCAGCTCAGAAAGAAGTACTCTAGCTGCTTGAATCCAAAGTCACAGAGCAAACAGAAATGCAGCCTTTCCCCTATTTGCCATTTTGAATCTTTCTTTCTTTTTTTTTTTTTTTTGTTATTGGGGATTGAACCTAGGTACCCTTAACCACTGAGCTACATTCCTAACCCATTTTATTTTTAACTTTGAGACAGGATCTCGCTAAGTTGCTGAAGTTGGGCTCAAACTTGTGAGCCTCCTGCCTCAGTAGGATTATATGCATGTGCCACCATGCCTGAATGCCATCTCAAATCTTTAGTATGAACATTTTAACAATATTAAATTTTCCAATCACAATCATAGGATGTTTATCCATTTATTTGTGTCATCTTCAAATTGTTTCATCAATGTTCTACAGTTTTCAGTGTAAAGGTCTTTCGCTTCCTGTAGTTGAAGGTTTCGATACTCCTTTTTCAATATTCGCTAGAAGAACTAGACAAAAGTATAAAAATAACATAAGATCTATACAATAATCCACTTATAATTAATTGATATTTAGAGAATACTATCCCAACAATGATAGGACACACATTATTTTCAAGCGCACCTTGTATGTTTTTTAAGTTAAATCATATGCCGGGCATAAAATGAATCTCGTTAATTTAAAAAAATGAAATCATATAGAATGTCTTCTCTGACCACAATATAATTAAATTTTACATCAATAAAGTACAATAATTAGGAAAAGTTAATTTGAGAATTAAATAATCACCTTATAAATGAGTCATAGGTCAAAGAAGAAATCATACAAAAATTAGAAAATTTTGAACTAAATTATTGTGAAAGTACAACATAAGTACATTTGTGAACGCTGCTGGAGAAGTTCTTAGAAATCTGTAGCTTGTGTTTTAAAAGAGAAAAAATATGGAATTAATCATCTGAGTTCTCACTTTCAGAAATGAGAAAAGAACAAATTAATCCCAAGAAAAAGAAATAATAGAAAAACAAAATGAAAAACAGAATGCAAAACAACAGAAAAAAATCAATGAACCAGAACCTGATTCTTAGGAAAAAAAATCAACAAAATTTACAAATCTGTAGCCAAACAGACAGAAAAAGAATAAAGGGGGCTGGGGATGTGGCTCAAGCGGTAGCGCGCTGGCCTGGCATGTGTGTGGCCCAGGTTCAATACTCAGCACCACATACAAACAAAGATGTTGTGTCTGCCGAAAACTAAAAACTAGATATTAAAAAAAAATTCTCTCTCTCTTAAAAAAAAAAAAAAAAGGAGAGAGAACACACATATATAAATTACAAATATCAGGCATGAGAGATCACTATAGAGCCTATAGACATTAAAATGATAAAAAGGGACTATCATGGGCTGGGGTTGTGGCTCAGTGGCAGAGCGTTTGCCTAGCATCTGTGAGGCACTGGGTTTGATCCTTAGTACCACATAAAAATAAATAAAGATACTGTGTGTTTATTTATAACTAAAATTTTTTTTAAAAAGGGACTATCATGAAATAAATGCCCAATTAATATCAAGTGTTGGTGTTTATGCAGAGAAACTGGAAGGAACTTTTGTATATTGTTGGGAGGAATGTAAAGTGTGTAGTCATCTTGGACAACAGTATGAAGCATTATTTCATAAAATTATGAAATATTTCATAGGTATTTATCCAAGAGAAAAAAAAAACTAGGTTCACACGAAGACTTTTATGTGAATGTAGCATTATTCATAATATTCTGAAACTGAAAACAGCACAAGCACCTATGAGTGATCAATTAATAGTGTATAACCATATCGAGGAATGCTATTCAATGATCAAAATTTTTAAAAAATATTTTAAAAAATACTAATATATGCAACACCATGAACAAATCTCAAAAACAGTCTAAGTGAAAGAAATTAAATACAAAAAAACTACAAATTTTTATAAAAGGCAAAATTGTAATGTCAAAAGAAATGGGCAGTTTCTGGGATTAGTGACTGTGGGGGGTGGGGCTCAACTCCAAAGAGGCATGATAAAAACTTTTTATGGTAAATGAACTGTTCAATGTCTTCCTCGTGGTGGTAGTTGAAGTGACTATATATAATTACCAATATCCATCAAACTCTACAATTAAATAGGTGAATTTTATTGCACAATAAATCTAGCTCAATAAATCTAGAAACAAAGTTCCTTCAAATCAAGGTCTTAAGACTGTCAAGTGATTAGATACAACCTCATGAGCTATCTTGTCCAGGGTGGGGGATATAGCTCAGTGGTAGAGCACTTGCCTAGCGTTTGTGATGCCCAGTGTTCAATCCCCAGAAAACACACACACACACACACACACACACATGCACGCACACCACAGGTATCTTGTCCACTGCTTCCATTGTCTCTTGAGAAAAATATATGTTGAGGTCCTTATATAAATACCTCAGAATATTTTTACAGAAGTCATCAAGTTAAAATGTGGTCATTAATGTGGGCCCTATTCCAGTATGACTAGTGTCCTTATAAAAAGGGGAAATCATGACATAGAGGCAGACACACAGAGGAAGCAATGTGGAGGGATACAGGGAGAACATCATGTGATAGCAAAGGCAGGAGCTGGAGGGATGTATCTAGGAGTCAGGAAGCTTGAGGTTACAAGAAGCTACGATAGAGGGCTGAAACAGTTCTTTCTCCAGGACTTGCTCCTCAGTTTCAGACTTCTGGCCTCCAGAACTGGAAATGGTTTGTGGTCTGATCTGGCATCTCTAGGGAACTAACATACTCCCTTTGATGCTAATCATGTTAATCACAGTAATCATCGCATATTGTCTAGTTTCCCAGGGAACCTCTTTAAGATGAGAACAAACCCCACAGTTGAAAATACATATAGTAGCCCAAATGAAGCAAGTTTTTTTCCTCTAGGTTGGCTATTAAATGCCAATTTCTTCTTGGTAGGCCAGAGCAAGAGTCACCTGGAATCTCATCAAAAACATTTTATGAACGTAAAATAAATCATCTAAACTGAAACCATTAATGGTATTTAAGTTGCATATTCTCTTATTCTTTCATTTCAACACCCAAAATAGGCTGGCAGGAAACCTAAGAAATGGGGCTATAATGTTCCTAATTTCTAAAAGCAGTATTTGCATCTAGATAGTCAACAGAGACATACGTACTTAAAATGTGGATGGGTCCATTTCCCCCACGTGCTACGGCCAGCTGACCTTGCAAAGTTCTTAGGAAACTGTAGATTTTGCTGAATTCTCTTTGAGACTTTGAGAACAAGTATGTATTGATAAATAATAAAGTCCTCTGCACAAATAGCAGTGTTGCTTTTAGTTTACCATGAGAAGGTTTTTTTGGGTGAAGGAGCCTTCTTACCCCACTGCAGATTAAACTATTAACATCAATATCAAACATTTAGTAGCTCCCAAATATAGGATTGGCACATACAGTCAACCTACCTCTTGTGCTGAAGGCAGAGTCCCCTCACAGGTGACACAGTATCTCAGGTGAGCAGGATTCCCTGTGCCACAGGTGCGGCAGACTACTTTCTCCTTATCAACAGAGAAGAAGAACAAGTGAGCAAATAACATTGCAGAGAAATCATCAAGCAATCTTTGTAGTTAGTCATTCAGCTCTAGATCCTATTATAACACTAAGGTCCTCAAGATTAGATTGGTTTAGGAATTATTATAACAATAAATAGCATCAGATAAATTAACACAGTTTTAAAAGAAACAAAATCCCAAACAAACTTAAAATAGTATTCATTTGGTCTTTGAAGGACATTCAAAAATTCTGCTCTGATTGTATGTAAGGTTTCCCATCCCCATCACCCAATGGGAGAAGTCCAATCGATGGTCAGTAGGCTCTCCATTTCATAGCATAAATAGTAAACAGAAAGACCAGCTTCTTTGTGTTTCCAATAATCTTGTTTGGGGACTAGGTTTTACCCATGGGGCTCTAGGTTCTTTCTGCAGTTTCTCACTTAGAAATGAAAGAAGTAGCTGTGTATAGTGACACATGCCTGCAACCCCAGCAACTGGGAGGCCAAGGCAGGAGGATCACAAGTTCCAGGTCAGCCTCAGCAATTTAGTGAGGCCCTAACTAACTTAGTGAGACCCTGTCTCAAAATTAAAAATGAAAAGAGGTAGGAATGTAGTTTAGTGATAAAGCATCCCTGGGTTCAAACCCCAGTGCCAAAAAAAAAGAAAGAGGAAAGATTATCTTAGAAAAGAAATTGTAAGTACAACTTTCTGAGTCAGGACCCTGGGGTTAAGGTACAACACAGGAGATGGAGAAGAGAAAAAGGTGGTCAAAACAGTCTAACTAGGGTTCAGCTATTGGGAGTTTGCTATACCTACTGACACTGGATCATCCAGTACTCTCAAGATACTATCTTTTCAATTTTCAATGACCATGATGCTTGAATATTCCTTTGTACTCTGGGACTGTGGAGTCTAGGCATCCCCAAACTAATACAGAATGTTTAAAAACTGGTACAGGTAAAGGATCATGAAGAAAAGAAATCCCAACATCTGAGATTTCATTTATAATATCACCACATAGCTCTATAAAATCCCAACATTTCAAAGTCTGATTAACTCCATTTCAGTAAAATATTCCTAACATTTTCTTAGGAATCTGTATCTATTCAGGAAACCACATTCCCAATGTAGGCGACTCCTAAAAGGCAGACAGAGGTTAACTGTTAAATGAGTGACAGAAAATCACAGTCTTGTGCCTAATTCCTGATACTCATTAGGTCCAGGATTCTAACGTCTCTTAAAGTTGCCATAGAATAATCTGCAGTTGTCAGGGTTTTTCTGTAAGATTTAGGCTACAAAATGCCTGAAGGTGTCAACTCAGACATGATCTGGTGAAACTGATTAAGAAGTGAGACAATTTTTTTTGTTCTGGTGTTTAAAAGTACTGAAATAGAACAAAAATGATTTTATTGTTTGCTGCAGGAGATACTTCCTCTAAGAAGACTGTAATCCAACTAAAGTTATTTACTTACCAAGTCCAGAATCTTACTTCAAGATACCATCTTGGAGGGTCCACAAACCAAAACTTGTATATCACAGCTTTGCCCAGTCTACACTCTGCTCAATCTCAGTCCTGCCTTGCAAAACCTCTATTGTAAAATTTTCATTAATAAACCTTATTTTTAAGAGAAGTTTTAGGTTACAGTAAAACTTAGCAGACATTACAGTTCTTACATACATTTGTCCCCACACACACTCAGCCTTTCTGTCAACATAGGTATCACAGTGGTACATTTGTTACAACCCATGAACCTACACTGACATATCATTATCGCTCATAGTTCACAATTCACACTTGGGCTCACTCTTGCAAACCTTCTTTAAGTTCACCCATTCCTTTTACTGTTACATTGTGTGCATGTATGAATATGTAACAAGTCCAACCATTATGTATAATTATAACACACCAATTAAAAATATGGAAAACAAAGTCATCAATTCCCAGTAATAAATGCCTATACTGCCCTCCATCTTCTCCATTCTGAGATACTACAAAGAATCTCTCAAGGTGGTGCTCTACCTTACTGCACTGGATCTACTAAATGGTATCTTGGTTTTTGTGATGGCATTTGACACTATGCCACAGCTCACTTCCATTCAGAGCAGTGACTATGATCCACAATCACATAAAAATCATTTTATATCACAACCACTGTATCCATAGAATCATAGATGTTCATAGGAATGATTTGGAATTGAGGCCACCATCAAAGGCCACCATCATGGCCTTAATAAGGATGCTAAATAGCTATGATTGATGACTTAAAAAAAAGTCAATACCTGCATTTTCCATTTCTTCCACAGCAGTTGCAACATATCATCTAGTTGAATGGTTTTAACCAATTTAATAGACCCAGCTTAGTCAATGGGATAAAACTTTTTTATAAAAGAGTTGGAAGTTGAGAACAATTTTCAAATACCCAAATGATAAGCTTTAATTGACACAATAAAATGGGGCAGAATGTTGGAAATGAACTAGTAGGGCATCACAGACTTTACATGCCTGGAACAGCCCTTGTCCCCTACCAGTCTTCCTCATGCTTACACATGAGCCACCGCTTGTCTCACCACTTTTTAATCTGGCAAACTCTTATGCTCCCGACAATATCCAGTCAGATGACATCTTCTTTTTGAAACCACCCGTTGCTCTGACCCTGATAGAATTTATGAATTTTCTTCTCTGTCCTATAGCCACCATGACCACCATGGTACACAGAGGCCCAGGTCACTGGATCTAGGCAGGAGGCAGTGAGTCTCAGGGTGAAAGCCTGGGGACTACAGTATGCAGAAACCAACACAATGGTCTAAGAAAAAGACAAATCAAAAGAAGTCTTTAAAAGCTGCTCAGCACCTGAGAGATCATGGTAGAAGTACATGGTAGAACAAAGAGAAACCAGATGAAGCTAAGGGAAGGTTCATGGCCACAAAATGGTGAAGGATACCAGCTGTTTGGCACAAGGCCCAAATGCCATATGATCAATGGAGGACTGGTCTAGAGACCTCACTCTGTCTTTAGAACCATTCCCCCAATACAACCTGTTCAAGGACCCAAATACAGGTTTCCAGAGACTTCCTTAGGCTCATACAACTCTATGAATTCTTATGAAATGAAGTATACTGTTTATGTAGTCAAGTTTCCAAATAAAAAAGTAGAAGGGGGGATGCCAAGAAGTATTCAAATGTTCATTGAAAGAAACAAAATTAAGCAATATATACACTTTTGAATATATCTTATGATCATAAAAATGTAATGCTAAAATAAGCCAGGCATGATGGTACACACCTACAATCCCAGCTATTCGGGAGGCTAAGGCTGGAGGATTGCAAGTTTGAGGCTAGCCTCAACAACACAGTGAGACTCTGCCTCAAAATAAAAAACAAAAAGCTTACTGGTAGAGGTTCAAACCTCAGCACACACACACATACACACACACACTCACACACACACACACACACACACACACACACACACATACAAATCCTAGTGCTAAAATAAACTAAACTCTAGGGGATAACAAATACCAGCAGAATACAACAGACACTAGTATGACAATATGTAAATCAGTGGATATGTAACCGATGTGATTCTGCAATCTGTATACAGGGTAAAAATGGAAGTTCATAACCCACTTGAATCAAAGTGTGAAATATGATATGTCAAGAACTATGTAATGTTTTGAACAACCAACAATAAAAATTAAAAAAAAAGAAATGATCACAAGAGTCTCACTTCTAGAGTCAGTAGTAAATAATGATACCCTCAATCATTATATCCCATGATTTTTGAAAATTAATGTTTGAAACATCCCTTTATGGAAGCTGTACCAAATTCTAGGAATATTTAGTTAATGTGAAGCTAGTTTACTCAATAATTTCAAAGTCAATAATTCCCTTAGAAAAAGTGACATTGAAGTCAAGCAGGCTTGATTTTCTAAGTTCTCCTTTGAATTCTTATATCTTACATTCTTTATTATAAGGTATATGCCAACTTTGGACCACCAGTGGAATATAAATAACATGCAAGTGGCCATCCCTTTCAGAAATTGCCCTTTAATAAAGGGACCACCCCTGGATTTAATGCTACTAATCAATATAGCAGTCCTATGTTTACTCTCAATAAAGGACTTACAACAAATTGAAGGAAAAATTACTTATACCTTTACATCTCTTTTCCTTCCTAGAATGAAGAACTACAGGTTTTATTATTTACTTATTATTTTTAGTTACATATGACAGTAGAATGTATTTTGGCAGAATATATATACATAAAGTATAACTTGTTCTATTAGGTTTCCACTCTTGTGGTCATACGTAGTATGGAGTTACCCTGGTCATGCACACAAATACAAGGTTATGACCAATTAATACATGGTTATAACCAATTAATTCTATTGTCCTTTCTATCCACCCCCCTTATCCACTGTCCAGTCCAATCTATTTCTACTATTTCTCTCCTTAGAACTACAGATTTTAAAGGTGGAAGAAATGTGATACATATTTAATTTAGTTGACAACAAACATCCCTATTTGTCAGGAGTGGCAAATAAATTATTGCTTTGAACTCCATAGCCTTGGACAGCTTGATTGCCCCATCTGGAATCTTTCCATGTAAAGGTGTAGAAAGACACACCCATTTGCAGGTGCTCACTGTTAATGGGGCCCAATCCATGCCTGGCAAAGAATTTATGAGTTCAATAGCTTTGAATTTAAATGACTGCTTGCCTTGGGTAAAAGAGATGCCAATGTACTTAAACAGCCTTGAGGGTCCAGCTGCCAGGAAGAGGAAGAATAACTACGCAAGTGATAAATCTCCAACTGGGCCAATTTCCCCAGCTTCTTGTTTACCTTGAAGAAGCCTTCCTCACGATAAATTTCTTTGGTGTGTTTCACTATAAATAAGGCATTCATGGGCTTTTCTCTTTTTTAGGATCAGACCCATCTGTTGAAACAGGTCTATTCTACCCATCAAGCCCTCACTTTGAAAAAAATATATTTCTCATCTTTTGTGTTTCTTTTTTAAAAATATTTTGTTTTAGTTGTAGTTGGCACAATACCTTTATTTTATTTTTATGTGATGCTGAGGATCGAACCCAGCATCCCACCTGTGTTAGGTGAGCACTCTACCGCTGAGCCACAACCCCAGCCCTGAGTTTATTTCTTAATATTACTTTTTCAGACTTTTATTTCCAGCTATCCCACAATTCTGAGGGTTGCTTATTTCCTCCCCATGCATGCTGTAGGTGACACCTATTCCTCCTGTTTTGAATATTCCAAGGAGTTTGGAAAGACATCTCCAAACATCCTGAGAAAACATATTAACAAGAGTAGGCTCTGCTTTGATTAACAAAAATTCCAAAAACAACAGTGGCTTAAACAAGAGAGAGCTTATTTCTTTCTCTCAAGTATATGAAGCCTAAAGATGGGTTTCGAGAAGCGTTTGGTAGCTCCCCACGGTAGCTTCTGAAGTTTAAGGGTGAAAATAATTACCTACCAAAGCACTTAGTAAATTTTCATCTATCTGACTTTGGCCCAACCAGTTCTTCAAAATCTAATTTCTGAAGTTTTACATATCCTGGGATACTACTGAAATTTTCACAGTGAAGGAAGCTTGGAGGCGGAACAAGAAGTGGACTTAGCTTTTCCTTTAATACATTTTGCACACCTAGAATCTATAAGCCCATTTTAGAAATATTATATTTCTTATTGTACAATTAAGTCCATGTATTTCCTTTATTTCTAAAAATTCCTGCTTTTTTATCCCTTAATTAAATATATTTCATCCCCTATTGATGTTTCTTTGGGATTACAGAGGAGGTAAATGGAATTGTAAATTAAAAAAGATACAGTTGTATGTTCAACCATCCTACCAAAAAGTTTTCATCATTTGTCAAATTTTTAAAAATTTTATATGATGATATGTAACTTTTTTTCCATGTGACTAGTTATAAGCATTCTTTGTTTATATATAATAGAGCAAATTAAATAGAGCAAAGAAAAGCATGAAGCCACTTAAGGGCAAGATTATAAGCCAAATAATGTGCAATGTTAAAGTTTAAATATCTCAGGGGGAAAACTTTAGTTATGCTGAAGTTTGGCCTTCAAATCCATGTTCAGGGAATACATTCCTACATTTCTGATCCTTGTGATAAACTAAAGATTCTATTAATATAGAAGAAAGAGAATAGATATTAGAAACATCTTGGAGGCTCTGCTATAATCTTCATTTTATTTCTCTTAAATATATACTTATTATCATGCATTCAATATACTTTTCTGTCTCAAGGGAAGTAACCTTTATGTCCCTTACACTCACTTTGAGTATTGTACTCAAAGTCTAGGATATTTGAAAAATGTGCAGTCTAAGTTATTTTTTTTAATGTTATAGATCCTATTACAAGTTATCTTTTGGGCAGCATATTTGCCCAAAATTTGAATGGATTTTTTTCAACAAATGTTAGCTTTTATTTGTTAGCCCACTCCACCAGGTGAAGAAAACCCTAATTGTTCAAAGGTCACTTTCTATGTATTTCATTTGGGTTTTTTCAAAATTATATTTCATTACCTTCAAGTGGAGGCTTGCCTGTGGCCACAGCTGTGGAGCAAGAGGGGCCTCACACACCACACAGATGGGCGTGTTCATGGGGACCAGGCTTCCACATTCTGCACACAAGCCCATCTGCACAAAGGAAAAATCAGTTTTGCTTGGGATACAATAACTTAAGGTATGAATAGATCTCAGAATGTAAGGTTTAATTTGCTTTTTTAAAGGTATTTAAAATAACTACCTTTATATTATTTTATTCCTATTAAGAATAAAAACATGTTTGTTGTAGAAAAGAGAAATACATACAAATATGCTAGAACGCTAACTTACAGCATGATGGAGTGGGAGGTCGATAAATTCTCTCCCCAAAAAGTAATTACAAAATCAAATAAAGCTGTAAAAAAACAGCCATGTCAGCACTCTGCCAGTCAACCAAAGGTAGGCAAAAACTGAAAAGTTCCTGGAAATGACTGAAATTCAGCTAACAATATACTAGTCTGTGACATTCTGGCAGGGCAGAGTGGGGCTTGTCCCTTCCTTCCCAGCTCTATCTGGTGATAGCTTCACCACAAGGCAGGTTGTAAAAACCAACAGTTTTGTGGCTGCTGATGGACAAGGATCACTTGATTTGGAGCATCCTTAATATGAAAATCTCAGTGGCAAGCAAACAGGGAGGACTTGGTCTGAGATCATGGTCCTGTTTGTGGTGATTGATAGACTGGGAATTGGCCAAGGGTTTAACAGGGAGTTCCAGGATGTCATTCATGATAAATTCTCCATGTATCTTTCCATGACTCATGCCTATGCACTTGTTCTGCATAAGCCAAAGTGGGCCCAAGCCACCCACGTATCCCTAGCCAATGGAGACTGCATATGGAGAGGCAAGAGAGCTCAGTATAAAGTCAAAGCTTAGGCAAACTTGAAAACAGTCTGATGTTTAATAGTCTACCCAGCCCCCACACAGATCTATCAGCTTAGAGTGGAAGCCTTATTGCCTTGAAGTGCTTGAGCAAAATTTTTGGTCAATCTTCAGCTGAACATTAAGATACCCAAGATAACTCCAGGTTTAAATATCTAAACAAAAGAGAGAAAAAAAAAAGAAAGAAAAGAAATCCTGATATCAGTGACTAAACTTTGAAGAAGAGAGACATTAAAGATTTAATCGAAGTAAACAAAAAACAACTCCCTGCAGGGAAAAAAGTAAGAATTCAGAATTGTTATAGTATATTATCTAAAATGTTCACTACTCAAGAAAAAAACAAGAACATGTGCCCCATACTAAGGGTAAAAAGAGTTAAGAGAAATTATATCTGTGGGTCCTCAGATGCTAGAGTTAGCAGAAAAAGATTTTTTCCCCAAATACTAGTCTAAAAAGCAGAATTTTAGGCTTAATAATTCCCAGGTTTTCCCTGCTTTGTGTGTGTGTGTGTGTGGGGGGTGTTCTGGGGACTGAACCCAGGGACTTGTTCACTCAAGGCAAGTGCTCTAGTGCTCTACCAATGAATGACATCCTTAAACCACCCCCTCCCTGCCCTGTGGTACTGGGGTTTGAATCCAGAGGCCCTCTACCACTGAGCCACACCTCTAGCTCTTTTTTTTTTTTTTTTTTTAATTTTGAGATAGGGTCTCAGTAGTTGCTTAGGGCCCCACTGAGTGTTTCCAAGCTCAAATCTGGGTGTGTTCTCTGTGTGGCCTGCAGAGCCTGTCTGCATCTGCCCCAGCCTCCCCTGATCATACAGCATCCTGGAATTATACAGCATTTTGGAATCTCTGAGGTGGGAAAAGCAGACAGGCTTCTGTCTTCCTCAGAGTGTTCTGCTATTTTTTTGGCCACAGACAAAAATTTCAAAGCAGTTTTTATTAAAAAACTGTTCAAAGAACTAAAGGAAATCATGTTTATAAAATTAAAGAAAGGGTAATAATAAGATCTGATGAATACTGAATCTCAATAGATATAAATTTAAAAAATAATTAAATCAAAACCTTAAGTTGAAAAGTAAAATGTATAGAATAAAAACATCTCTAGAGGGATTTAGAAGACCAGAGATAACAGAGGAAACAACCAGTAACTTTGCATATAGTTCAATTATTCAATCAAGGAGAAAAAACACTGAAAAAAATCAGTAGATCACAAAAAAAACCATGAAACAACCTCAAGTATAACAACATGCATGTAATGGAAAGGAAAGAAACACACAGAAGGAGAATTTGAAAAATTAATGGCTAAAAGTTTCCACACTGGAAGAAAAACACTAATCTACAGATCAAATAAACTCAAGAAAGATACACACAAAAGATCCACATTTAGACACAATTATAATCAAATTGTTGAGTATTAAAGACAAAGATAAAAATTTAAAAGCAGCAAGAGAAAGACTATCATGTAAATAAAAAAACAGTAGAGGCCAGAAAGTAGTATAATGACATACTCAAAGAGCTAGAAGGTAAAATGACTGCCAAATAAGAATTCTATACCCAGAAAAACTATCCTTCAAAAATTAAGGAAAAATAAGGTTTCTCAGACAAAAAACAAAGAGAAATTGCTAGCAGATATATCTTAAGAGAAATTAGAGATGAAGAAATAAGTGATAGCCTGAGTTCACAGAAAGAAATGAAAGAACAAGATATAATAAATATAGGGGTAAATACCAATAACTCCAAAGATAATTTTTCTTATCTCCTTTAAATGACATAAGATTCTATAATACTGTATTTTTAAGTTAAAACATGTAAAAAGAGATAAAGAAAGGGAGAAGAAAAGTAGATATATTGAAGGGAAATTTCTATATTTTATTGAAATTAAGTTAAGATATTCTAAAATAGACTGTGATAAATTAAGGTCCATATTATAATCCCTAAAGCACCAGATAATTTTAAAAATAGTTTTAAAAAATAAACAGAGGAATTAAAGTGGCATATTAAAAACATTTACCACAAAAGAAAGCAATAAAGGGAGAGCAAAGGAATGAAATATATAAACAGAAAATAAACAACATGGGCTGGAGTCATGGCTCAAGTGGTAGAGCACTTGCCCAGCATGTTGTCATGCTACAAATAAATAAATGAACAAAAGAAAGGTCCACTGACATTTAAAAAATATTTTAAAAAAGGAAACAAACAACATATGTAAATTCTACCACATCAAAGTGTACTTAAATGGGACCAGACTAAACCACATCCAAACAGCAAAGGTTATCAGAATGGATAAAAAAGTAAGATCTGACTGGGCATGGAGGCACATGCCTGTAATCCCAGTGGCTCCAGAGACTAAAGCAGGAGGATCACAAGTTCAAAGCCAGCCTCAGCAACATAGTGAGTCTCTAAGCAACTTAGCAAGATCCTGTCTCAAAACAAAAAACAAAAAGTACTGGGGCCAGGCACGATAGTGCATGCCTGTAATTCCAGCAACTTGAGAGGCTGAGGCTGGAGGATCATGAGATCCAAACCAGCCTCAGCAGATTAGTGAGGCACTTAGCAACTCAGTGAAACCCTTTCTCTAAATGAAATATAAAAAAGGGCTGAGGATGTGGCTTAACCACAATTCTATATATTCAATATGTACAGGTGACATAGACATCTTGTCATTATATATATACATATATATATATGTATATATATAATTACACACATATGTATGTATATAGATAGATATTCAATACCAACAGTAAGCATAAGAAGGAGGGGTTGCATAAGTATCAGAGAATAAAGGATTTAATACTTCTAAAGTCAAGGAGAAATATTTTGTGAATGAAAAGGTCAACAAATCAGGAATATATAACACTTTAAAGTGTTTATGAACTGTTTTAGTTCATTCAAGTTGCTATAATAATAAATTAAGTGACTTAAAAACAACAGAAATTTCTCACAGGTTTAGAGACTGAGAAATCCAAGATCTAGGTGCTACTCTCTGCCTTAGATGCACTTTCTAGCTATATCCTCATCACATGGAAGGGCAAACAATCTTCCTGGGGTCTCTTTTAAAGGGCACTAATACCATTCATAAGGAGCCCACCATCATGATCTAACTTAACTCCAAAATGCCCTACTTCATAACACTATTACCTAGGGGGTTAAGAATTTTAACATATGAATTTGGAGGAACACAAACATTCAGATTATAGCACAAACATAACAAGCCCCCCAAATACATGAAGCAAAAACTATGAGTGAGACTCGAGGTAAAGCTCCATCAATCACTTGAGCACCTGACATCTCAAGTTTTACTGGAAGATCTTAGCAATGCTTTAGATCTCCAAGAATCAGCTTGAAATCATAGTCAGTAGCTAGCAATCACTCAGTGGTTTTGGCATTACTTTTACCCCAAAGTATAGTGACTGTACTGAAAGCCACCAGTCCTTTTGGGAAAGACTTCAAGGAAGATTTATGATATGTACATGCCAAGCTGCAGTCTTTTTCTAAGGAGAGCTGGTCTCTTCTTCAGTCAACAGACTCTGGATTGGTAAACCTGACTTATGTCTGTAAACTAGGTGAGAAACTTGGGTGGTCCAATGTAGAGACTCATGTTAATTTGGGGTTACAAGATCTGCTGGTTGTTCAATTACATGGGCCAAGGAATACATCAGTAGGCTACTCAGCTATTTAATTCCTAGGAAGACCAGGATCAGTGAGATTCTGATTACTGAAGCAGCACTACTGTCCTTATATTTGGCAATTAGCTTCTGGCATTTGACCTCTGCTGCTCTGGAATCCAAGTAGGCCCACTAAGATCAGGGAGCCCATCAAAATGGCAGTATTCTCCATGATCATATCTGGCCTACAAAAGAAAGAAGCCACAGAACTTTTTAGGAATGCAGGTGCTGGGGCTGGGGGTATAGCTCAGTTTGTAGAGTGTTTGCCTAGCATGCTTTGTTTCAATCCCCAACACCACACACACACAAAAAAAAAAAAAAAAAAAAAAGAATGCAGGTGCTCCTGGGTATATTGGCGCATGCCTATAATCCCAGCAACTCCAGAGGCTGAGGCAGGAAGATCAAGAGTTCAAAGCCAGCCTCAGCAACTTAGTGAGGACTTTGGAACTTAGTGAGACCCTGTCTCAAAATGAAAAATAAAAAGGGCTGGGGATGTGGCTCAGTGTTAAGCACTCTTGGGTTCAATCACTGGTACAAAAAAAAAAAAAAGCAGGGGCTGAGGAAGGGGCTGGGGAGTGATATGGGACAAAATTATATTGTTATATTGTGTGCGTGTACAAATACGTCACAACAAATCCCATCATTATACACAACTATAATGCATAATAAAAAACGTAGGGAAAAAAAGAAACATAGGTGCTCCTCTCACTAATGTACCTCTCAAGATCATACTGATAAAAGTATCTACTGTATCTCCTTTAAAAATACAATTAAGAGTTGTGGGGTACAGGCCCACATAATAAAATTTTATTTTATTTTCCTAAGTCTTTGGATACCCTCCTGCACATGTTGTTGGGTATTATAGACTGAACTGTGCTCCTCTAAAATTCATAATTAAAGAAGAGACAACAGGGATGTGTGCACAGAGGAAAGGCCATGTGAGGACATAGTGGCAAAGTGCCCATGTGCAAGTCAAGGAGAGAGGCCTCAAGAGAAACTAACCATGCTGAAATCTTGATCTTGGATTTCCAGCCTATAGAGAAATTAACTCTGGTATGAGAAAATTAACTTCTGGTACCTCTATGCTGTTAAACATAGGATATTACTAAGTCTAGGTTTTAGTCAACCAAGCAGCCTGTTAGTCACTCCAGCTGTGTTAGCTAGCCCATTTAAACCCAAAGTGTACAGATATCAAAGAATTCGGCCCATTTTAGTATTATATTCTATCTTCACTTAAAATCTACTCCCACCTGTTCTACAAGATTCTGCAAATATATATTAGCAAAATCTTACTTCTCTTTTTGTGTGTAAGCTATTTTCTCCTGGATCATACTGCTGGAGTAGGACCTTAGTAATGCTGTAGGTCGTTGTAGTAAGTCTTAGAGAGAATGGACATTCCCCATCAAAGCATCTACCCCAAGTATGGTTGTCACAAAAATTTCATGAAAAGGAAGGCTAGTACCCTCAGACCAGCGGGCAGTTCCAGCTACAGACAAGCAGACCCAATGTTACAAGAGTTTAAGTTTGTCAGTTTCTTCTGGGTCTAACCTAATAGCCACATTTCAGGGTTCCATTTTTTTCTAATTAATGCCCTAACTTTCACACAGGAAATTAGTGATAAGGTGAAGCCAAAATACACAGTTAAATGTTTGATTGTTTAAATATAAGCTTTGGGCTACAAGAAATAGATTTTTTTTTTCATGGAGAAAAGAATAGGGTGTTATGGGAACTCTCTATTTCTCAGACTCTGAATTAAAGGTCCTGAGTTTGTCATTTTCTTTCTGTGAATGTTCCTGGACTCAGGAGAACACATCCTGTGCCACAATCCTTGTAGCCATTGTTACTGCCACAGCAGTCAAGTACAACAGCTACTGACAGGCACAATGGTGTAAGCCTGTAATCTCAGCTACTCAGGAGGCTAATGCAAGAGGATTTCAAGTTTGAGGCCAGCTTCAGCAACTTGGTGTGGCCCTAAGCAACTTAGTGAGATCCTGTCTCAAATAAAATATAAATGGACTGGGGATGTAGCTCAGTGGTAAAGAGCCTCTGGGTTCAATTCCCAGTAACCTCCCCCTCCAAAACAAAGTACTGCAGTTACTTGGCCACTCAGAATACTTGCTGCAATTGGAACTTCATTATAATCAGCCACTGGTGATAGCTTGATTAACTTTGATGCCAATTCATGCAAGAGATTACCAGAATCCTATTTATCATTGACAAAGAGCTCAGCCCTGCTCTCAAGCAAAGGACAAGAACAAACCATTTTCAGGCTGGGGATGTGGCTCAAGCGGTAGCGCGCTTTCCTGACATGCGTGCGGCCTGGGTTCGATCCTCAGCACCACATGCCAACAAAGATGTTGTGTCCGCCGAGAACTAAAAAATAAATATTGAGAAGGATTCTCTCTCTCTCTCTC